CCAGTCTATAAGACAACATATGGACGAGAGTAATCACAAAATGGTTAACATGTTGGCACAACAAATAGGCACAATTTTCAATCCTTTGATTTAGAACACTAACCATAATTATCAACAATTGGCACAATACATGAGTAGAATTGTGGATTTCTTTACTGCTTCTCCAGTTCCTATTCAGTAGGTGCCTGATATGATAATTAGATACCACAGCAGGAGATATTTGTTGAGCCACCCATACTCAGGGTAGTTGAAGGAAACGTGTGCCAAAATGGCCCTGAGTTAATAATGGTACATAGGATCAAAGATGTTGACCAAGTAGTTATAAATGACCAGCTGAACAATTTCACATGACAAAATAATATAACTAAGGTGGTCGAAAAAAATTTGGCCCGAAATGACCTCAATGTTGGTCTGCATAGGCCAAAATTTTTTCTATGCACTAACTGATTATGTATTGTAGACTGAATTACCAAGGGGTTAGAAAACTCGCAAATTTATTAAGTTTGTAGGGGACACTAATCAATTCACTGTTGAGCATGTGGCGCGATATCATTCAGAGGCAAAAGACTTAGCTAATAATGAGAATTTGAAGATGAAATTATTTCCAAATTATCTCACAGAAATTCTTTCCCTTTGTTTACCACCTTACCCTCATCCACACTATCTATATATAGTTGGATCCAATTGGAAAGGGTATTATATGAGCAATTAACATGGGACAATCCAAGATTACCCTTAAAGAATTAGCTAAAGAAAAACTATAAAATATAGTTGGGTTGCCTCATTACAAGCGTTTGTTTAACATCAGTAGCTTGATAGTGATCCATGTTAAATAACATCAATTACCTTATAACATACCTCACAATATTTTATTCTGACCTTTACTTCACTTTTGTCAATGTCCACGAGCATCCTCGTAGTTGTCATGAATGGTCTTCCCAAAACGAGAGGTATCTTTGGGTCTGCATTGACATCCAATATTACAAAGTCTATATGAAATAAGAACTTGTCAAATTTGTATCAGTACATCTTTGATTATTCCCACTGATATCTTACATGTTTTGTCTTACATTTGCAATTCTTTTGCATATGTCTCTATCTGCAAACTCCATATCCTTTCTACCACTGATAGTTATATAATATTCACACTCACAACTAATTCAATAAGTGCATTTCCAATCTTTATATTGCCAATAGAAATAGGTAATACAACTACTATAGGGCCGCCTTCCTTCCTGGACAAGTCCTTCTGATAAACTATGAAAGTTTTATCTTATAACTTCATGCATATCTTTTAGTTGTTGTGGCAGCTTTGACATTTTTTTGGTTAGTTCATCTACTGTCTGAGTTAACAAATTATTTTGAGCAAGAATGACATCATTGGTATTCAGTTTTATGATACCGTTCTTCCTTTGGGATAGGTTTCTATTATGTTGTCATTGGTGATCACTAAGCGTCATTCACTCAATGATTGTTGTTGCATCTTCCCTACTCGTGGAAATAAAAGAACCTCTAGTAGTAACATTTAGCAACAACTTTAATTGTTGTTGAAGTCAATTCTTAAATATGTGTATATGCTAAGTTTGTTAAAACCATAGTTTGGATATCGTCTCAGCATCAACTTGTATCTTTTCCATGCTTCATAGAAGCTTCAGTCTTGCCTTGGGAAAACACCATGATACTTGTCATGGCTTCCATGAGTTTGTTGTGAGAAAAGAATTTGTTTAAGAATTTTTCCTCCAACAAGTTCCAGTTTGTCATGTCAATGGGTTGGTTTTTATACCACTCCTTTTCTTTTCCAATCAGATGGTGTGGAAACAATCATATGAATACCGTTTCTTCCTCATCTTTTGAAGCTCTTAGCGTACCATCAATTTCGTAGAATTTTGTGAGGTTCGTGTATGAGTCATCATGATTTAAAACTGCAAAAGGGTTAGCATATAAAATTTGTAATAATCTTGTTTTTATTTCACTCTGTCCATCATAAATGATTGGGGCACGTGACACTGGAGGTACACTTTTATAACCTCATAATTTCACTTTACTAATCTTGAACTTTATAACTAGGGGTCAGAAATGGACTTGCCCACCCTATTTAAGTCCACCTTGCAAAAGCTTGAAAAAATAGGGCGAGACGAGCATGGCTGATGGTGCAGGTCTAAAACCTTGGTCTCTTCCACAAAAAATAAGGGCAAGGCGGAGCAGAACCTTAGACACTTCATATTTTAAACCTAAAAATGAAAAAATCCATGTTAATGCCCACGTCCACAAAAACACGGAGCGGATGGAGATGACACATTAGAGCATGCAAGCCTAAAACCTTGACCTGCCTCACAAAAAATTGCGGGGAAAACAGGCATATGCCCGACAGGCTTAGTCCGTTTTGCCACCCCTATTTGTAACTGACTTGGACGTTGGAGTGCTAACCTCGCAGATCCATCCCTGTGTTGTCATATCAGAGATCAACATCACCATATTAGGAGTCAATCATCATCAATCAATCACAATTTTGTTTCTAGTATGGAACACTAACCTTGCAAGTTCACCATCGTATTCCACTACACTAGAGGCACCGGAGGCTTGCAACACTGCATCAAAAGTCCACCATCGCAATTCACATATCATGCTGATTCCGATCCAGAACAAATGCATTACAACAACACATTTATTCCAAACTATATGTTATTTATTTTCTTCCAAATACACCAACTCCATGTCAAGCATCTCTTGTAAATACATTTCTAGTCCTTTTATGAAATAAGCTGAGATCCACAAGATTGTTGCACGTGATGACATACATTATATTGAAGAAAGAGATGTCTAGCAATTTAAATGTAAGTAACCACACATCATTAACGAAATCCCGTTAAAAGATACTCATTTTATTTTAAAATGACAATCGTTTAAGATTTTTGTACATAGATTAAAGAATACAATAATATTGCAATAAAATATTACACTTTTACTAAGTTAACTTTATTAATGTGTTAAAAGTAATGTACATTGTAGTAATTAAATAACACAATTGGATAAATAATCATCATTTCTATATTGAAAACTGAAAATAACAATTATTTTGAAACAAATTTAATTTGTTAAAACGACACTCATTTTAAAACTGAGAAAATAAGAAGATTAATGTTTTATTTTGACTTGTATTCCAATAAAAATTTTTATTAAGAACATTCATGTATATTTTGACTTGTAATCCAACAAATTTTAATCTAAAATGTCTTACAAAACCTAAGTTATCTTGCTAAAAGCATGATAATAAAAAGTCCATGACAACCGTTCAGAAATACTAGATTAAATTAAAAGTAAAATATTTTTTATTATTTGATAGCAGATATTAATTATACAAGAGTGATAAAACGGGTCCAATATTCTTAAAGATATTTATTTATTTTTTGCATTTTTTTGAGATGGAATAAGGTTTTAGTTTAGCACCTCTAATATGTTTGTCATGTCTCGCGCAAATTTTTTTCGGACTTTTGCAAGCTCAAGTAATAATATAAATTTTGTAATTTTTAAATTTTAAAGGTATGGTGTCCGTGAACCCACTCAGTCATACATTTATCTTTTCTGAGTTGATAAAAGTTTAGCTTCGCATTCTCACTTATGTCTGTTACACCCACCTTATATTTTTGCAAGTTTTTGCAAAGCAAACTTAAACATACATGATAGTTTGTCATCCTATGTGGATTACATTTTTAATTCTAATTAATATAAATTTTATTTTTTAATATTAAAAAATATAAATTTTATATTTTTTCTTATAATTTCACTTTTAACTTAAATTTTTATATATAAAAAATGTAAATAGATTTTTTCTTGGTAAGAGTTTTTTACCCATCTGATGAACTCCTACCCCCTTTGAAGAGCATATCCAGGTTTAATACCTTTCTTTCATTCCATCGTTTCGCCACTGTACTTCGTTTTTCTTCCCAAACAAACACCGAACAGACCAATATTTTGAATCTTCGCAACCGCATCCAAAATTTCAAATTTAGGGCAAAACAAGAAATTTCTTCACCACCTACTTGTTTCGTGTAGCAACGATTTTCTTCCATCAGAACTCAGGTAATTTTTTTCTCACCAAACCTTCTTCTACATTTCTAACTGAATGTTTAGGTTTCATATTTTAATTAACCTAATTTATAGTTGAATTCAAAGCGCTCTTGAAATGTGAGGGTTTCAGTTTCATAACAAAAAGTGAGGGTTTCGGTGTTTCGTTTTGGTTCGATATTTTTTAAAAAATGGTTTTTTTTGCTGCTGCAAAACTGCGAATGAAGCTTGCTACAACCATGGTTTTGGGTGTTTTGTGTTGTGTATGCTGCAATAGTATTATTTAGGTTTAACATTTAAAACCCTTGAAAATTATAATCTCATTTATAATTATTAGGTTTACTTCTAAAGCATTTGAAGCTTGCTGGAATTCATTAACCAGCTGAAGATTTTTATGTTGAAAATGTAGTGGATTTGTAAAAAATATGTTTTTTTTTTTATAAATTGTTGATAAATGTATGAAGAGAGATGGGGGAGGAGAAACCCGTCTCCACGCAAAAGGCTCTGATTCCAGCACGATTTGCATTTGTGGTAGTCAGCCTCATAGAAGGCAATGCACCAGAGAATTTGCAGCTGTGATTGTGCGCATAAGCGATGCTGTTGAGAACATAGTTTTAAACCATCTGAAGCTCGCCATATTCCATTAACTAGCGAAAAAATTTAGGCATCTTTAGTAAACAATTAGTGTTTTTTGTGGTATGTAGAGCTTGATAATAATTTAAGATGATATGGTCGAAGAAGGAATGACAAGGGACGTTATGGGAGGTACCCTTAATTATGAGAAAGAAATACAGAAAAAGTTTTTCTTTCATAAAGGAGTTTAGATGAAATTACTTTCTTATTGTTTATTTTCATGCTATTAAGCTTTGTAATAGTTTGTAACTATTAAATTGAATTGAATTGTTCTTAAAGGCTGTTGGCTAAGCTGCAGGAATATGGATGACATGGAGCAAGCCAATGAAAATAACCGAGAGTTTCTGTTAGAGCAGCTTGCTCAGGCGTTTCTTGAATTGGAAGCTCAGACGGGCTCTTCTGAGGATAAGGTTCAATGGGTTGAAATTAAGCAACATTTTTCTGACCTTGAGACGATATTGAACAAGAAACATGAAGAGCTGCAGGCTAAGGAGAGGGAGTACGAAGGGAAACAATTAGAAACAAATACAATACTCACACAGAGAAAGGCGGCAGTTACTTCAAAAGAACAGGATCTATTAGATCGTTTGCAGGAGCTTAAAGATGCCGCTGTAGCTTCCATTGTAGAGGCTCGTGCAAATCACCAGACTGCACCTTTGGAGTTTGTGTATGATGGGGAGAACAAAGATAATAAGGTAAGTAGTTCCCCCGAGAACTCTCCATATAAGTCTGGTGAAAAGTCTGAAGATGTGGCTAATGACGTTACGCCACTTCTAGAGATAAAAATATTTTGTGAGAAAATGGATGGGAATGGTCTTCTGGATTATGTTGTGGCGCATAAGAAAAAAGTGTCTGTTTTTCGTGAAGAAATTTCTGTTGCATTAGAAAGTGCAATTGATCCAGCACGTTTGGTGCTAGATTTACTAGTGGGGTTTTATCCCGCCAATGACACTACCCAACAAAAAGATAAAATGGGTGCTGCCCTTCAGGGCAAGCGCAAATCCTGTATTCTAATTTTGGAAGCCATGGCCAGTTTATTGGCAAGGGCTGACCCAGGTGCAGATCACCTTTTGAACCCTGAAACCAAGCAGCAAGCCAAGGCAATTGCTGATGAGTGGAGGCTCAAGTTAGCTAGTGCAGACATTGATGCTGCCAATGGAAACTCATTGGAAGCAGAGGCATTCTTACAGCTTCTTTCAATTTTTAGGATTGCTTCAGAGTTTGGTGAGGAAGAACTCTGCAAGCTTGTACTTGCAGTTGCTCAGAATAGGTCGGCACCTGAGCTCTGCCGCTCTATTGGGTTAACTCACAAAGTACCAGGTTGGTGTTCTTTTAATAAACTACTGACCTGTGAAGTCTTCAGTGAAGGATTGTCCTGAGTCCTGTCAGATATCTCCCCTATATTTGATGAGTAGTTTTCTTTAGGGGCTGTATCGTTAGATTTTTGACAAAGCATAGCCACATGTGACTTATATTTCACCGTTCCTTTTATGATATTACGTGTTAGGCGGTGACACAATTTTCAGATATTGATTATTCTAATTTTCACTATTTATGCAGCTCTTGTCGAAATATTAATCAACAACGAGAAACAGATTGCGGCTGTACATTTTATTCAACTCTTCCAGCTCCAAGAAAGCTTTCCCCCTGTGCCTCTCCTGAGGACATACCTCAAAAACCAAAGGAGAAATTCACAAGTAAAGGCTGATAATGTGCGTGATATTGCTACTGCAAAGGTATTCTTTGATGCTTGACTGAAATTTAAATTAAGTGATTATCTTCATCATTGTTTTTGTTTGTTGTTCCACATTGCTTATATATGTACATTCTCAATTATTTACCGTTGTAGATTGATGCCAATGCACAAGAGCTTGCTGCGCTGAGAGTTGTAATTAAGTGCATCGAAGAATACCAGTTCGAATCCGAGTATCCACTTGACACACTTCATAAAAGGGTTCATCAACTAGAGAAAGCAAAGACAGAAAAACGGAGAGGTGGAGAGTTTTTTAAACGTCCACAACAATCAAAGAGGCCAAGGCCGAATGAGAGGCATTTCCCTCTCCGATCTTCTGGTCGTGGTGGCGGTGCTTCAGGTGTTGTTACAGGTAGGCAGTTACCCCCAGTTAGGACAGCATATGCAGGAACTGCTGATCGATATCCCCATTATGCTGCAGTCGCACATAATTATCAAGTTCCAGGCCAAGCTATGTACACTCCGCAGCCTAGTGCAGCTCCTTCTAACTATGGTCGATATATAGGTAGTAGTTTGCAATCCTCACACCAGCATTACATGTGAGTTTTTAACCTCCAAGCATTACTGAAAAGACTCGAGACATGCTAGCGATCAAACATTACTGATTATCTACTCCTAGTTTTTAAAAATGTTCCTTTTTGTTTTTGTGAGTTTCTTATGATGTCAGAAGGCAGAGATGTACTCTTATATATTTATATACCATGTCCACTTTTGTTAAATGAAGTGTATGTTAAACAATTGGTGACAAAACTCGTTTGGATCAGTACACTAGTTAAATGTCTAATGTTGTTGATTGCATGTAAAAGACTAGAATGAGTGATTCTAACAACCATTCAACTACTTCTTCTTTTGGCTGAATGGTTAAAGAGTGGAAAATTGCAAATCCATCCCTTTCATTGAGCATGCACTGATGTAAAGCGATCAAATTATTTATGTTAACTTTTCAATAACGTCTTACCGTATACAAAATTTACGATCAAATGTATGGTTAGATTGAAAGTTATACTAAATTTATAATATTTTAATAAAAATGCGAAAGACATTAATTTTGATCATGTCAATAATATAACAAAAGAATTTTGCAAATGGTGTATAATTTTTTTGTTCAGTTAACCATCGAATTTCTAGTAGAAAAGTGATTTGCCATAGTTTTTCTTTAATAGCTTTACAAAGGACTAAAATGTGAGGGCAGGGCTATACAAAATATGTGCACTTGATTTCAGAATATTTTCTCATCTTAAGGATGTGACTTTACCGAGGTGAAAAATCATGCTTAATTTTAAATTTTAGACTTGTATTTTTAAATGGATATAAATTATACACATCCAAGTGAACCATCATATTTTGTCTATAAATAAATAAATTTAGAGATGCATCTCTGCCATTATATTAGAATTTATCTGGAGGTGCATATTCATAACAACACTCATTTTCAAACTCAAAGACGTTTACAGAGATGTATTTTCGAAATGCACTCTGTAAACTTAAACCACAAAACAACAACAAATGGATGCAGAAAGTTGAAGAAAAACATAAATTAATATCAAAATATGTCATATTACATAGATAATCATAACATTTCTTGAATACATGCTTAAAGTGCTAGGGAGAATAGGTGCTCTAACTGACGGATCAACGTCAAATATAAGTGTTATGAATCTCAGTGATCATAATATGATATGATAGGATAAAATTGGTGTATCTAGTCTTTCACATCGTAGTAGTGTATAACACGATTCACATTGGTAACTGCTTTGATCGCTGATAATCTTACGTTTGGAGTTCAGTTCATTTCGTCACGATTTGGTAATTTTGGAGCGATATCATATTCATTCATCATTCAGAGGTTCTTCGTCTCCTAGACGAGGTACTCCATTAATAGATTTACGCTAGAAATTGTTATGGTAATGATCACATTAATGATGGATGGTTGAGGCAATACGAGACAAGAAGGTTTATCGGGAACCTTTAGAATGATCTTGGAGGTAGTTACCTCCACTCTTTGGTAATTATGATACATATCTGAGTTTAGATCTAGGATGATCTATTTGCGAAATTTTCACAAGAATAAAAAGTATGAAAATCTAACAAATCAAAGTTGAAATGATGTTTGATTGGACCAAATGTAACAAATCTTCTTGTTTGATTTTAGATGCTCTTGATTTGGTGACTTGAGAATGTTTTAAATTGGCGAATTGAAGAGCGAACATGAAATCATGGAAAAAGTAAGAATCAAACGTCATTTCTTAGACACGACGTCACTGTTTCGCACTGGAATCATAAATAGTTGAAGTATGTGGGGAAAAATCTTGAACGAGTGGTGCTGATCTCCAATACGGTGGCACAAGGGTGGATTTGAAAAGTTAACACTCCAACGCTCAAGTTAGCTCAAGATCTACGATGAGTGTAATGAAAAGCGGAGATTCAAAAGTGTACCTTTCTTTTTGTGTGAAGTGACTTTTATACCTTAAATCATGTGGAGTGATTTGAGCCTTAAATATATGGACCTTTGGTCGGCCCATAACATTTCTATTCTTTTATTTTCATCTTCTCTAATCTCTTTTGTCATATGATTTTTCTATTTCATTATAATATTTTTTTGATATTGTTTTATATTTTGGTTTAATACCCTTTTTAGTCTTGTATCTTAACTTCAGGGTTCATTTTGTTCCTTAACTTTAAAAAGTTTCATATTGGTCCCTTAACTTTTCAAAATATTTCATATTAGTCATTTTGTCTAATTAGCGACTGATTTTTGAATTTTTCTGTCACTAAGAGGACAAAAATGACTAATATGAAACATTTTAAAGAGTTAATGGACCAATATACACCTTTTTAATATTAAGGGACCAAAATGAACCCCGAGGCTAAAATACGGGATCAAAAAATGTATTTTTCCATATGTTTTTTTATTTTAATTTTGTCTAATTTGACTTTTGTATATAAAAGAGAAGTTGTTGTCTAAATATGATAAATTTTATTGTTACTTGATAATATATGAATAACTATATTACTCAATAAATATTTTGTAAAAAATATAACCAACTAAATCAATCCAAACCACATTGATTTAGGTTAATTTTATTTTTAAAAGTCAACATAATCAAATCGAAACACACATTTTTTTATAATTCAAATGTTTTTTAAACATTTAAACCGCTCAAACTCCACCACGAACCCTAAGGGCGTGCATGAATAACCAATTAATATGATCTAACCCATTTTTATAGTTATGGTTTAAATGTGAAATCACTTGTCTCAAAAATCAATTTGAAATTTATAACTACTTTCGAACTGATTTAAAGTCGATTCTAAATAAGTTTTGTTTTTAATTCATATTATTTAATTAAATCTAAATTTTACTCTCTTTAAATTAATATCAATTTTTATGAGTCTTTAAAAATATTTTATTCCCTTTAAATTAAATACTTAAAACAAATTTTATGATTTTTTTTCTAAAAACAAAAAATAATTTTAAAAGAAAAAGATTGGATTTTTTAAAAATAAAAATATTTTTCTTTAAAAATAGAAAATATTTTTATTCGAAAAAATAAAAAAATAATTAAAAAAATATTTTATTCCAAAAAATAAAAATTATACTTGTTTTAGAAAAAAAATTGTTTTTGTTTGAAAATATTAAATAAATTGAAAAATATATATATTTTAAATGAAAAAGATATTTATTTTTGAAAAAAAATATTTAAAAAATAAAAAAATTGTTTCAGAAAAGTAAAACAATTTTAACATTTAGATTGAATTTTAAAAAGTAAAACAATTTGAATATTAATTAAGTTTTTACTCAAATAGTCAACCTTTTCAATTAAATACCTAAACTAATTCAATTTCCCACATTTTTTCCAAGCTAATCTACTTTCAAATAAAAAACTTTTCAATACAAATGATGCGCCAATTCAATTTATGATAATGTACAATACATAAAAGGAGACGTCAATCCAATTAGCAACAATGTACAAACATTAGGAGAAAAAATATATTCTCTATTCTATGTGTTTGTACACCGTAGCTAATTGAATCGAAACCTTCTCTTATGTGTTATATACTGTCGTTAATTGAATTGATGTCTCTTTTGTGTTGATTTATTTTTATTTGAAAGTGGATTAGTTAAGAAAATATGTGGGAAAGTAGGTTAATTTAGATATTTATTTGAAAAAGTTGGCTATTTGTAGGGGTGTTTGCGGGTTGAGTTGGATAAAATTTGATAAAATTTAATATCCGATCCAATCAATAATTGTTGAATTGGATTGAGTGTTCAACCCGGAAATTTGGTCTCTCAAATTGGAATTGAACATAGGTTTTTACAACTAATAAAAACTACAATTATATTAAAAAATGATGTATACATAGAAGAGATTTTGCTAGATCATTTATAAAAGAAATATTTGGTACCATAACATCGTTTTATAATATCAATGAATGATTAATATTTTTTTTCTATTATATCTTTAAATATTTATTATTTTATCTCTTTTTAATCATGTAAATTTATCTTTCTAATACCATTAATGAAAGATAATTTTATAAAATCTTTCATAATTTTTTGTTTTCATACCTTATTATTATGTTTTTTAATATGTTTGAAAAATAAAAAAATTTATAATAAAAAACAGAAAGAGTAATATAAAAATAATATGATATATTAATGAGTTGAGTTCGCAAATTCAAAATTTCAAATACGTTATCCGAACAATACATCAATAAATTTAAATAAGTTAATTCGAGTTAAATTTATTGAATTAAAATAAATGTTAGGTTAGTTTAGATGAATGAATTCGCAGGTTGATCCATACAATGAGCATCCCCGACTATTTGGATTATTGAATCGGTTTTTTCACACCCCTTAATTTGAATCAAATAGATCCTAAAACAAACAAAAACGAATCTCTATAAAATAAAATTAACAAAAGAAAACTAGATAGAAAAAAGTTAACTAAGAAAAGCAAATAATAAAAAAAAAAACCGGAAATCAGATGTCACTATCTTTCCTTCAAAAAGACGCTTACTCGAATTCCCTCCTTCCCTTCCCTTTCTGTATTATTTCGATCCATTTGCAAGTTAGGAACCATAACTTGGATCCAGAATCGTTCCCCTAACCCGAGTCACCAACTCATGGCACGCACATTTACTCTCCTCATCCTATTCCTACACACTCTGCATCTAGTTCCTTCGACCATCGCCGTCGACGCCGAATTGCTCCGTAACCGCAACCATGACTCTCGTCCCGCCATGGTTCTTCCTCTATTCCTCACTTCTCCCAATTCATCCACGTCAGCGCTCGATCCTCGCCGCCAGCTCCACGGATCGGAAGCCAAACGCCACCCTAACGCTCGCATGAGACTCCACGATGATCTCCTCATCAACGGGTAAATTTCTCTCATCATCACTGCACGCATTTCATTCTAACGATTTCGTAGATTTAATTAGATCAATATTTGCTTTTGTATCTATTTTTTGTTGAATTATTATTGATTTGTGTAGGTACTACACAACGCGGCTTTGGATCGGTACTCCTCCGCAGATGTTTGCTCTTATTGTTGACACGGGGAGTACTGTTACATATGTTCCGTGCTCCACCTGCGAACAATGTGGAAGACATCAGGTAACAATTCATTTCATGTGTGTGCATAGGTTGATTCTATATGCTGCTTTTTCCGATGGACACGGATCCTTCTTGCCTTAACTCGGTAAATTGTGTAATTGCAAATGGAAATTACTTTATGCAAAAGAATTGTTGTTGGGTTGTTGATGTCATGAATTGTATTCACGGTTATGAAAATACCTGCATTGCTAGGCTCTAGGGTGTTTAATAGGATAGTTTGGTATGTTGCGGAGGTTCAGAGGGTCCTTGGTAAGAGTACAACAACAACAAAGCCTTATTCCAGTAAGTGGGATCGGCTACATGGATTGATCTATGTCATAGAGATTCAATAAAGTTTTACGTTAGATTGTCGACTGCCTAACACAACGCTCTCTTTTTATCCGGTACCGGCTATGTATAGCAAAGCTAACCTAGGCAGTATTGTACTTGGTAAGAGTATAAAACTAAATTGAAAGATGTAAAATGGAAGAGTAAAGATTGATAGGATAGTCGGACTCATTTTGAGTGTTGAACTTGAAGGTGATAATAGTATGGATATGTTTATTCCTCTACTTTAATTGTCTGATTGATGCTTAAATTCACCCTTCTCTCTTTTGAAAAGTTAAATTTCCTTCTACCCGTGCTTACACTATTTCACTTTAATGCGATCGAGACCCTTAGATGTTTGTCTCTTTTAATGACAAGATGAAATAAGTAATTTTAATGAAATTTCAAACTGGTAGTAGAAATGTTTACAACCCACTTTTTACTTTTAATCGTGTTCGAATTAATGTTTGCAAGTGTACTTTTGATTGAACTTCATTTTACAAACATACTTTTGGTTAAAAAGGAGTTCACCCTAATGTGATTTATGTTTGGACACCTTTTCTCAAATGTATGTTTTGCAAAATGGAAATTGTTTGGATCAGTGTTATAAAATTGCCCCGCCATGGCCGCTATGGCGGCGGTTTATGGGCTCGCCGCAATGGTAAGTATCGGCCGCTATTGCGGTTTTTTCTGCCATAGTTCGCAATAACGGTGCTGCAAAGCAGTCAGTTTAACAGGATTTTGGCTCTCCCCCATAGACCGCCATCCGCCATCAAGAACACTGGTTTGGATTATATTAACAGAAAATGCTTTTAAATCTGTATTTACCAAAAAAGATATGGACTAAAAAATGGTCAAAAAAATTTAGAGAAATAAAGTAGTTTTAGAGATTACTTTTGAAAGATTCGTAATTTCAGCTTTTACTCATTAAAAAAGTGAAATATCTCTAAACTACAAAATTAAAAATAGGACATAAAGAAAGATTCTGGCCATCTATGTTTATATATCCATATAATTATTACAAATAAGCATTGGTTTTTCTATAAGGAGGAAAAATATATCATGGAACTCGTTTGTGGTTTATATATATCAAAATGAATGAAATTGTAGCTTATTTTTTCTCTTGTGGAAAAGGGTGTGTAATTTTGAAAATTAAAAAGGAGGGAAGTGTGATTTGAGTATTTCTCAAGGAGGAGTGTAATTTATGCTAATAATAATAATAATGTAGTCCCCCTTCATTTTCTCAAGGAGGAGGGTAATTGAGCCACAAGGGAAAGCCCAATCATTTTTCTAATAGTCCCCTTTCAATTTCAGGGTGGTTGACCAAATGTGAACTTGTCAAGCACTCTTAGTTTTTTCCTCAGTTACAAATCTGGCGGTGGACAGAGGCTTAGTTAGCACCAGCACATCGGCCCATTGATCTTGAGCTAGAATATGTGACACCACTAGCCTTTTGTTGAAGACCTTTTTCCGTAAAAAAAAGTCTAATTCCATGTGCTTGGTCCCTTAGTGAAGCATAGTGTTGTGGGGGAAAGAGAGAGTCCAGACACTTAACTTATCACATAAGATTTTGGAGTTTGGTGATTGACCCTGAGTTCTTGCCATAGAGACTACAGCCACAAGATCTCTGCAATAGCCTGAGCTAGGCTTCAATACTCTGAGTTCTTGCCATAGAGACTACAGCTACAAGATCTCTGCAATAACCTGAGCTAGGCTTCAATACTCTGCTTTAGCACTGAACTTGGCAACTGGTGTTTGCTTCTTAGCCCACCAGGACACTATCTTGGGCAAACATAGAAACAATCCCCTGAAGTGGACCTCATGTCATCTGAGTCAGAGGCTCAATCAACATCACAAAAATCAATAATGGTTGTTGAAATAAGAGAGACTAAGAGACATTTAGATTAAACCGTGTGTTTTGAAAAGTACTACGGAGACATTATTATATATAGATAGATTACAATTAATTACATGATATAGTTGATGTGGGACTATTCTATATACAAATATTCTTAACATTATGTATATTTACAAATATCAACACTTCCCCTCAAACTTGAGCATATAAGTCAAATGCACCAAACTTGTTACATATATAATTAGTTTTGGGGCTTCATAGGAATTTTATAAACACATTTGCCAATTGATTATTAGAGTTGACAAAACTTGTGACAATGTCGCCTGACTCGATCTTCCTTCTATCAAAGTGACAGTCTATCTCAATATGTTTGGTCCTCTCATGGAAGACTGGATTTGAAGCAATGTGCAATGCAACTTGATTATTACAAATAAGTGTCATTGGTCTTGCTTTTTCAATTTGAAGTTCCTTGAGCAACTGTTTTAACCAAATAAGTTCACATGTTACCATTGCCATGACCTTATACTCTACCTCGACGCTTGATTTTGCAACTACATTTTGTTTCTTACTTTTTCAGAATATAAGGTTTCCTCCAACAAGTTCACAATACCCAGAGGTGGATCGTCTGTCAATGGGTGACCCTGCCCAATCAGCATCGGATTATCCAACTATCTGGGCATTTATCCTCATACACAAGACCTTTTCTTAGAGCACATTTGATGTATCTCAGAATTCGGATAACAACATCCATGTGTTTTTGACAAAGGGAATTTAAGAACTGGCTTACCACACTGACTGCAAAAGAAATGTCTGGACGAGTGACTGTGAGATAATTCAACTTTCCAACCAATCTCCTATACCTTTCTGAGTCAGATAAAGACTCCACCTGATTGGGTAGTAGTTTGACACTTGGATCATTAGGAGTATCGGCTGGTTTAGCATTTAACAAACTTGTTTCTTCCAAAATATCCATAGCATATTTCCGCTGAGAAATCACCAAACCATTTTTAGATTGGACTACTTCAATACCCAAGAAATAACGGAGTTTACCAAAATCTTTTGTCTGAAATTGTTTCGAGAGATGTTGTTTCAACTGGAGTATTCCCTGCCTATCACTACCAGTTATGACAATGTCATCTACATACACAATATGATAAATACTCCCTTAGGGAGAGTGACGATAAAAAATAGAATGGTCAGCTTCACTATGGACCATACCAAACTGTTGTACTATAGTGCTGAATCTGCCAAACCAATCTCTCGGAGATTGCTTAAGACCATAAAGAGACCTGTGTAGCCTACAAACCATATTCGATAACTCCCCTTGAGCAACAAACCCAGGTGGTTGCTCCATATTTACTTCCTCCTCAAGATCACCATGTAAGAATGCATTTTGGATGTCAAGTTAATGAAGAGGCCAATGTCGAATGACTGCAATTGCTAGAAGTCTAGCAGAAGCCATCTTGGCTACAGGGAAAAAGGTATCATTATAATCCAACCCAAAAATTTGAGTGTATCCTTTGACTACCAAGCGAGCTTTAAATCGATCAATCTTACCATCTGGACAAACCTTCACTGTATAAAGCCAGCGACAACCTACTAAAGATTTTTCAGGGGTAGAGGAACCAGTTCCCCGGTACCACTGCTATGAAAAGCACACATTTCATCAATCATTACTTGTCTCCACTAAGGGTGAGACAATGCTTCACCTGAGTTTTAGGAATAGAAACAGAAGATAAAGAAGACAAACAAGTATACTGCAAAGGGGAAAGACGATGATAACATAAATCAATATAATGTGGAGAAGGATTTCGTAGGGGTATCTAGTGGGTCAGGTTCCCTAGAATGATGGGGGATAATGACAGATGGGACTTCCGGAAGAGATGTGAAAATACTTTCCTGTAGAGGTTTAGTAGTTACTTACCTGGACTTGAAATATGGAGCAGACTCGAAGAAGGTAACATCGGCGGATACAAGGTATTGTTGTAGAGTATGTGAGTAGCAACGATAACCCTTTTAAGATCGATGATAGCCAAGAAAGACACACTTTAGTGATCGAGCTGATAGTTTATCAAGATCAGGGGAGAGATTGTGTACAAAACACGTAGACCCGAAGACTCGAGGAGGAATTGAGTGGAGTGGAGAGTTTGGAAACAGGATTGAATGAGGGATTTTATTATTAAGGACATATGAGGGCATGCGATTTATGAGTTACCATGCCGTGAGCACCGTATCTCCCCAAAACCGGAGAGAAACATTACCATGGAGAAGTAGGGTCCGAGTGATTTTTACGAGGTGTCAATTTTTGCGTTTGGCTATCCCGTTTTGTTGGGGTGTATAAGGACAAGATGTTTGGTGCAAAATACCATTGGATGACATAAAGGTTTTAAATTGTTGGGATAAATATTCACGTGCATTGTCACTTCTTAAGGGACACGAATAGACAAACCAAATTGGGTTCTTATTTCTCAATAAAATTGTTCAAAAATGAAAAACAATTTTGACTTATTCTTCTTTAAAAATAGCCATGTGAAACGTGAAAAATCATCAATAAAAGTTATAAAATACCTAGACTTAAAAGTAGACACGGTACCCGAGGGACCCCAAACATCGAGGTGACCTGGAAAGACCTGGATGACCTAACTGCGCATTTATAATGAGTGAAGAATCTGTGGCGGAGCATGTGGTAGATGACGTAGAAAAGTAGTAGAGGCCTTGAGACTTACATCCGACGTCAATCGTCTGTCCCGAACTCCGATCTTGCAGAGTAACATTACTAATAGTAAAGGTGATAGAACAATTAAGGGAACGAGTTAAACAACTGACTAACAGTAAATTAAATGGGAAATTAGGTACATGTAGAACAGAAGTAACAGAGATGATAAAATTTGAACAGTACCAATCCCTTGGGATCAGGTTTGAAAACCATTTTCGACAATTATAATGGGCAAGAAATCAGAGGTAGAGAGGGAAGAAAAAAGACTTTTATTACCAGTAACATGATCAGACGCACCAGAATCGAGAACCCAATGATCAAGAGGAGATGATTGAGAGAAGCAAACAGATGAATTACTAGTTTGTGCAACCGAAGCCGTGGAACCAGAGATCTGATTAGTTTGACACCACATGAGAAAATCCTTGTAGCTTGGCATAGGGTTCTGAATAGAAGGTGAAGTCTGCATAGTGTCTGGGTTATCACTTTGAGCTGCATTTACCTGGTGTGGGGGTTTGTCATGTAGCTTACAACAACGGTTGATAGTATGGTCAAACCGGTTACAATTGTCGCACTTGGGACGAGGTTTGGAGTTGGATGATCTTCTTCGAGGGTGATTCTAATTGTTGCCAAGAGATGCGAGAGCAGCAGTGTCACCTGGTGTCGAAGCAACAGTAGATGAAGAGGAAACTGGACCAAACGCATGAGGTGTAGCCAAACGCAACAGTTGTTCACTAATTGCATCATAGTTAGGAACATTAGTACCTGATAAAATCTTGTTACGCACGGAGTCGAGTTTGGATGGTAGTCTTTTAAGTGCCATGACAATAAAAAATTTACTTTGTTGTTCGGCATGAGCTGTTGCATCTTTTGCGTACGGCTGTGTATAGACAATGAACGTCGTTGGAGAAGATTTTCTTGGCCTTTTTCCAAACCTCATAGCAAGTGGAGAAGGCTTGATATTGCACTTGGAGGTTAGGTGCTATGGAGAACCATAACAAGGTAAGCAGAGAGGCATTAGTTTTCCTCCATTTAGCGAGTTTGGCGGCGGCAACATTAGTCAATTGTGTGGTTAAGTGATCTTCATATCCCTAACCATGAGACCACATATTGACAGCACGAGGTCATATGTTATAGTTTGCTGATCCGGTTAGTTTTTCACATGAGATAAGCAAAACTTTAGTAAACGAGACAAAATTAGCGTCTCTTGTGGTTTAATGACACAAAAAACGGAGTGAAATCGGGTCTGTTTAACTGGAGCATCGTTTTTCGTGAGTCGTAAAGTAAAACAGAGGCCAGATTTGGAGCGGGTGGGGAGATGCGAGTAGACCGGCGGCAAAACGGCCGGAATCGACCACCAGACGTGCTGGCATGCGCGGGGCAGCGGCGGGAAAAAGTGCGACGGCTGGATCGGAGGACAACGAGTTGGATGGTGGGGTCGGTTTACCGAAACGTCGCCGGAAGTTTTGCCGGAATAGTAACGTCGGTAGTGGCAACAGGGTAGGAGTGTTCATGATTCATGAACTGCATTGAACCGAACAACATTTATGGTTCGGTTCAGTATATAATAACCATTTCAATAAAAATTCAGTTAATTAGTAAAATGGTTTCAATTCAATTTAAAACTAGTTTATATTTATAAACTAGTTTATTCTCAATTTACAATTTTAAATCAAATTATATATTTTGTGCTCTTTTAAAACCAAATTTTTTAACTTCATAAAAATTTAAATTTTTTTATGTTAAAAAAAAATATTCTTCAAAATATTTATTTTTAAAAAAATTATATTTTTGAGAATTTCTTTTTTAATTACAATTTTTTTCTTTTAGAAAATACGATATTTTTTAAAAACTCAACTTTTTAATATTTTCGAAAAAAATTCGATTTTTTCATATTTCTAAAAAAACTCGACCTTTTAATATTCCAAAAAAAATTCGACTACTTTTATATTTCCGAAAAAACTATATTTTTTTTATTTTTTTTTTGAAAAAACTCGACTTTTTTCATATTTCCGATTAAACTCGATTTTTTCATATTTTCGAAAAATTCGACTTTTCTATATTTTCAAAAAAAATAGATTTTTTTTTTCATATTTCCGAAAAAACTCAATTTTTTCATTTTTCCAAAAAAACTTGACTTTTTAATATTTTTTAAAAAGCTCGGTTTTTTCATATTTTCAAAAAAAATCGATTTTTTTTTCATATTTTTGAAAAAACTTGACTTTTTTAATATTTTCGAAAACACTCGATTTTTTTTTCATATTTCTGAAAAAAACTCTATTTTTTGTATTTTGGGAAAAACACAATTTTTTTCATATTTCTGAAAAAAAATATCGACGTTTTGATATTTTTGAAAAAACTCCACTTTTTTTTTTCTTAAAAAATTCGTCTTTTTTTTTAGAATTTTTTTTACTTTCATTTAGTTTTTTATTTTTTATTAAAGACTAATTAATTTATATAATTAAACTAATTTATAAAAGAAAATTGGTTATGAGCCGGTTTTAAACTGTATTTGAATTGTTTTTATTAAATTTATTAAATGGTTCAATTCATCCGTTAATCATATTTTTGAACACTCTTACAACAGGGTGGTTACCGTAGAATTTTGAAAAGTGAGAGACAAACTGAAGTGACGACACGGTTTGTAAACAAAGATATTTCTCACCGGAAGACAAACTGAAGTGACGACACGGTTTGTAAAAAAAGATATTTCTCACCGGAAGACAAACTGAAGTGACGACAAAAAGGTATTTCTCACCGGAAGACAAACTGAAGTGACGACAAAAAGGTATTTCTCACCGGAAGACAAACTGAAGTGACGACACGGTTTGTAAAAAAAGATATTTCTCACCGGAAGACAGTGGGTCAATCGGGTAAAATCTAACGTAGAAAGAATTGTCTCATATACCATGTTGAAATAAGCGAGACTAAGAGACATTTGGATTAAACTGTGTTTTGAAAAAAACACTACGAGACATTATTATATATAGATAGATTACAACTAATTACGTGATATAGTCGATGTGGGACTATTCTATATACAAATATTCTTAACCTAGTATGTTTACAAATATCAACAATGGTGATAGGTGTTGTTAGGCTAGCTGGTGCAAGTAGTAAACCATGGTTAACTATCCCTGTAGGTATCTGAGTATCCTCTTTACAAAGCATATAAGGTGACTGGATGCTAAGTAAAAAAAGAAATTTCTAATATGGTTTATTTATATATATTCATTAAACTTATTAAACAAACTGTTAATTTAATTTGATTTCTTTGCCTCTTCAAGACCTTGAAGTCCTAGATCCATTGACTTTATTGAAGGCCATCATCCATTTTAGACTTTCAAATAGAATTTCAGAATAAATGAAGGTTTTATATTTTCATAAAAAGACTAGTGAAGTTTTAATAAAAGCTGATATAATTGAACATGATATGATAAGTTAAATGCTTTGAAAAGATTCCTCTAACCTATTTGGTTTATGTTCATATTGATGCAGTAGAATACTCATGTTTTCCTTGTGTTTCTCAATACCATCAATTTCACTGCGTAAAAAAAATTAAAACTTGTACCTATGGATGTGTAAATTGTTAATTGTCCTATTTAGCTCAAGTATATTGGATTTATTTCTGCTTTATTTAAACAGGATCCAAAGTTTCAGCCAGACTTGTCAAGCACCTATCACCCTGTCAAATGTTCAATGGATTGCAACTGTGACGATGACAAAGTGCAATGTGTGTATGAAAGACAGTATGCTGAAATGAGTACTAGTAGTGGTGTCCTTGGAGAGGATGTCATATCCTTTGGAAATCAGAGTGAGCTTGCGCCGCAGCGTGCTGTTTTTGGCTGTGAAAATGTTGAGACTGGTGATCTTTACAGTCAGCATGCTGATGGCATTATGGGTTTGGGCCGAGGAGATCTTAGTATCATGGATCAGCTGGTTGACAAAAATTTGGTGAATGACTCATTCTCTCTATGCTATGGTGGAATGGATGTTGGTGGGGGCGCAATGGTTCTTGGCGGCATATCTCCCCCATCAGACATGGTCTTTGCAAACTCAGATCCTGTGCGCAGGTGTGTATTTCCAAGTTCTTATATTGTGAATATGAGATGTAGTGCATTTTCACAACAAATGCATTTTATTAATCTCACACATTTACTCTAGTTTCGGGGTGGCGACAGTCCCTATTACAATATTGATTTGAAGGAGATACATGTTGCGGGGAAGCGACTGCCTCTAAACCCAAGTGTTTTTGATGGAAAACATGGAACAGTCTTGGATAGTGGTACAACTTATGCATACCTACCAGAAGAAGTATTTCTTGCATTTAAAGAAGCTGTAAGTACTTTCATAAATATTTTCATGGAAGTTTTTGAATTTTCATTTTTCAATCTTGCCTGCCATTTTGTTTACACATTTAAATAATTGTCAAAATTTGAGTCTCTGTGTTATCATGCATGGAGCTAGAATAAATTGAAACTTGTGAGGAGCCACTTCTGCAAGCTATTGTTGTTGAAACTTTTTACAATATTGCTGCTGAACTAATTCTGTCCTTGCCAAGTTATTATTAGAATTGAAGGATTTCAACACATTTAGTTATTTTCCATATGATATTCCTTACGAATTTGTTGGAGATTTATTTGATTCACTTGTATTCTGAGGAATTTGTTTTTAGTTTTCCCCAATACTATTTAAATCTTTGCATGCAAGACAATATAAATCTTGTTAGTTTTTGGTTGGTTTCTCTAATACTTGATATTGGTTTTCTGCCAAATTTCAAATGCCAACCTGTGTTTGTGATTTTAGGCTTCTAAAGATTAATGTTGTTCATAGCTTTTCTGAAAAACTTCATTTGATTGCATAAATGATCCATGAATCATTGTTGGGTTTTCTTCATTTAAATAAACAATGTGTGCATATACTCTTAGTCTGGCATTCATGACTTCTAAAAGTTTGAGGAATCTCCAATCTGTTAATTGTGGACTGCGTCAATGGTGTCTTTACTTGTGGTCCCAAAAACACCAGATAGTGGCTGTTTAACGTATATTTTCTTTTATTTCAAGTCAAAATGATAACAACAGAATTGTATCTTACCGAACTGATAATTCTGATCAGTCAATCTTCCTTAAAGCCGGAAGATGCCACGACACCCCTCAAATCAACATTTTTTTGAGGAAGTCTTGTGTGGTCACCAGATTTAGGCATACCATTTAGACACACGTATAAATAAAGAAGAAGAAGAGGAAAAAATGAAATGATGTATATTTTAAAATAATTAAATGGTGTGTATTGTTTTTCGTGTCCAAATATTTTTTATTTGAGTTGATATTATTTTAAATCTGATAAAATTATAATATTAGTTGGTACGTGCATCCATCCCCCCTCAAACATTTAGGCCAAGCATCGCTACTGACTTTGATTTACTTATCTGTTTGCAGATTGTGAATGAACTTCAATCTTTCAATCAAATCAGTGGTCCAGATCCAAATTACAATGATTTATGTTTTTCTGGTGCTGGAATGTATGTCTGTAAAATCAAGAGTTCATATCACTCTGTTATTTCAGTTTAACTAACAGTTGAGTTTACTTGTATTTCAGTGATGCCTCACAACTCTCTAAAAATTTTCCAGTGGTTGACATGGTGTTTGGAAATGGTCACAAGTACTCACTGTCACCTGAAAATTACATGTTCAGGGTAGTTATACAAGATCATTTGTATATTTAATTGTGTTTAAAGGCTGGTACAATCATTTTTTAAAATAAATTTAACTGATTTTATTGCCCCTACTTTTCATGGGAAAATCTTTTATGAAGCATTCAAAAGTAAAAGGTGCATATTGTCTGGGAATTTTTCAAAATGGAAAGGATCCAACTACTCTTTTAGGAGGTAACTTCCTTACTGTTGGTTATTTTGGCCATTTCATGTTTTGCCTTAATGTGAAATAATGTTCCTCTCTAAGTTTGTGTTATATAGTGTGGGATAGGTTTCTACAATACTTCGGTGATTATTCCCATGTCATTTTTCTTTTGCGTAGGTATCGTTGTCCGAAACACTCTTGTTATGTATGACCGCGAGCAGACAAAAATTGGTTTTTGGAAAACCAACTGTGCTGAGTTATGGGAAAGATTGCAGTTATCCATGACCCCACCACCAATGCTTCCAAATACAGAAGCTATAAATTCTACCAAATCAGTAGGGCCCTCAGTTGCTCCATCTGTTTCACAACATGGGATACCTGCAGGTATTGTAAGCTTCTCATCTTCTATTTAGAAGTGTATTTGGAGACATAATCTCTTAACATGTCTCAGGGGTGTTGTATGTCTCAGAAACATTGTTCATCATGCTTTTTATTTGTCTCTGAAACTAATGGAATCTCTTTCAATGTATATGTTTATTGCTGACTAACATGATTTAATCAATTTAATGCACAGGTACATTCCAAATTGCACAAATAACAATAGCACTTTCATTTAACATCAGCTACGGGGATATGAAGCCTCACCTTACTGAATTAGCTGGACTAATAGCTCATGAGTTAGATGTTAATACTTCCCAGGTTAGAAAATAGTTACTATGTTGCAGTGTTATCAAATTGCGGCGCCATGGCTGCTATGGCCGATATACATGGCGGTTTTTGGGCTTGCAACAATTGTAAATATGGTCCGCTATTGCAGGTATTTCCGCCATAATCTGCAATAACGGTGCCGAAAAGCGGCCGGTATGGCGGGATTTTGGCTCTCCGCCACCCGCCATCGACAACATTGCTATGTTGCAAACATTTTATAGTATAATTACATCTTCATGTTTGATTAACTATATGCATGTATTTAGGTTGCTAATTGGGTGGTTAGGTTTCATATTGTGGTAGACGTTCCTAAGTTTAAAGTTCCAAGTCGTGATGCAAACTTTCCAAAATGCCTATTTAAGCCATGCATTTTCTGTATTCTTTCTATGTGATATGTTTTATGGTTATTCTTTGACAAATTGGTAATGACACTTTGGTGGATGTCCACAGATTCAATTACTGAATTTTACTTCTTCTGGAAATGACTCCCTCTCTAGATGGGCCATAACCCCGAGGCCACATGCTGAGTACTTTTCTAACACCACTGTAATGGTAAGTCGATATTTGTGCATCTGCATTTGTTTGGAGATTTCCCATATGACTGATTTCTATGTGCAGAGTATAATTGGACGGCTTGAACACCACATGGAACTTCCCAATACCTTTGGAAATTATAAGTTGATTGATTGGAATGTTGAACCTCTATCAAAAAGGTAACTTCTTTCTTGAATGGAAAAATACTTTAAATTTGGAAAATTATTACATCCTCTTTGAGCCGAACACAATCTCACAGTAGTAGTGTATGGGAGTGTATTATTTAGAATAGAAATTCTTAGGTAGGCATAGTGGTAGAAAATTAGGTTAGATGAGAAAAAGCATTGTTTAAAGAGAATGTTTTGACAGACTTTCACATGTTTAGAGTAAGTTTTCTAATATTGAATCAAATGCCTATGGTGAGCAGTGTCTATCCAAAATTTATCATCATTGAATTCAACATCTCTGCAATCACTAGATATTAACATGCTTTTTCTGAAACTATTCAGGAATTGGTGGCAGCGATATTACAAGGTTGTGGGTTTAGTTGTTCTGCTTACTTTGCTTCTAGGATTATCAGCATATGGAATATTCTTAATTTGGAAAAAAAGACAGCAAAGTGAGCATTCATACAAGCCTGTTGATGTGGCTCTTTCTGAGCAAGAACTCCAGCCATTATGAGCTAAGTTAATGATACTGCTGCTTCATATTATGCTTCGTTAGTCTCAGTAGCATATTCAGTTGCTATCAAAAGGAATTTACACAAACCTTAGTCACTGAGCTGTTCAGGTTTTTTATTTGAAAGAAATCAGAATGTCCACAATATACAGTGATCATTGAACCCTGACGAAAGGTACATAAAAAACTCTAGATATTCTATCATCTGTAAAGGAATTTTGGTTGTGAATATTGTAATATACAGGGGAATCAAAGGGTGGCATCACAAGGTTGAAATACAATTTACATATATTGTAATTTTTACATTTCACTTAACCTGTTTTGTTTACCGAAAAATGTTAATTCTTGCTACCTTTTGCCTTTTGGGATGTGATCTAAGATATCAATCTACTTCATTATTCTATTTTCTTCTCACAAGTTACAAGTTAGGCACACAACAAGTGCCAAGAATGAACAATTAAAAACATCAAATACAACATGCAATTTCCATTTGAATGACATTTCATAATCTCAGGCGTTGTGCTATACATTCCTGTTTGTGATCGTGTATGTATATTCGGAGTTGCCTCTATTGAACTTCTTCTAGCATTATGGGCACCTTTGTAGAAGGGACACCTTCAGGTCACTGCCAATGATTTTCGGCTTCCATTCACGGTTAGAACTGAAGGTGTTAACATCAACTTCTGATGCTCCAATTGGTCCAAGTGTTACGTTCAAGTTTTTCTCTATTTTCTAATCTCCTATCTTGTTTGATGGAAATGGAATAAAATTCACTTATTTTTCAAAATTTCTTATCACATGGTGTGGAAAAACACTATGGAAAATTTAAAATGTAAAATAAAATTATTTCAAAAATATATTTTTGAGCATTTTCAACAAACAAGAGATGGATCTCGGAATCATGTTTCATTTTTTGTCTGAATTAAAGATGACAATTTGACTTATTTCTGATGAGTACTCACAAAATTATTCATAATGCGTAGAATAAAAATCCGCAAAAATAAGTCTGGACACGGGCTTGAATAATTACCTACAAAAATAAGCGTGTATGAGTGCTTTTGTACCATCTTGTCCCATATCCGTACAATATATATTTATGTATTTTAATTTATATTATTATATAAAAATGTATATCTATCAATTTTAAAAAGTTTATTAATATTAAATTATTATGTATTTAATATAATTGTTTGTTTATTTATAACAATAAAATTTTTGGAATTTCTTAAAATATTTTTTAAAACTCAAAATGATATGATATTTTATAACTGATGTATTTATTTTTAATAGGAATGCGGATAATGGATACGGGTATGGACACTTAATAACTATAGGGTGCCTATTGTCATCCTTAGTCTAGATCATAAAATATTTTAGAGATGCATCTCTGGAATAAGAGAATACGGTGGTACCCGAGTTACATCTCTGAAACCTCCACCGATACAAGATAGAATTTTTAAGGTCCATATTTGTCTACAACTACTATAAATATAGGCTATTGTATCATGTTTCATACAAACATAAAATGTCGCAAATAAACATCATCTGGTATGTTGCAAGTCTCATTTTCTAGCGCAACACTCAAACGAGAATTTAAGATCAATGAGTACATCTCTTTTGCAGATTTGCAATACAAAGTGCAAAATCTCCTACATTACAAAGATAATCGAAAAATTGTGAACCTCGAGTATTGTCCATCGTCAATTAACAATGAAGGTAAGATTGAAGTCAACAACTATGAGCTCAAGACAGATGCAAATGTAAGAGTTATGTGGAATATATTTTTTCATAAGTTTCAATCGAGGCGGAAGCGACAATTTCAAGATCGGTCGAAGATATTGTGAAGATATTGAAGCGTACACCCGAATATTGAAATGTAATGTTTGATTTTATGTTATGAGTAGTAATTTTGTTTTGTCCAAATACAACTTTTTTGACTTTCTGTTTCTGTTTCTGCTTTAGTATGCTACGGATATGCATCTATGGATAGATTACTGAGATGTATCTCCGAAATTAAAAAAAAGTCACACTCCTAAGACATGGTTCAAAATTAGTCTAAAATGTGCGTATTTAAAGTGTGTTCGAAAATATATTTTCAAAATCTAAAAATCTTTTTGTATTTTTACGTGGTGTCCCAATAATATATATAATGGATAAAAAAAATCCTCTTATTATTTTCTAAATGTCAATACTTTCAGAAATATGGAAGCTAATAAGGTTCTATTTGACCTTTTCTACATAAAGAAATTTAATACAGGTCTGGTTCATCAATAACACACAAAATCAAAATATTGATTCGGTTCATACAATTTTTTACATTAAAAAAAATATTTTAGGCACCATGTAGTCTAAAAAAATCAAAGCAAATGTACACATCTTTAACAAACCGGAACAAACGTCAAACACCAGATAGTAAAAAAAAGAGAATTTCTTACTCCACCCCTTGAGGTTCTTAGGCACCATGTGTGCTTTCAAAATTATCCCCTGTTTTCAGAGATGTATCTCCAGACGTACTTTTTTTTACTTAACGTTGGTTTTTTCCGAAGTTACATCTACGAAATAATTCTGTTTATATAGCTTCTGAACAAATTAGAATACATTCGCGCCAAGTCCTTTCTCCTCCCTCATTCTTCATTTTTTCAACTTCTCACTCTCAAACTCTCCAAACTCTCTCAATAAAATTTTTTCCACCAAACTTAATTGCTTTCAATCAAGTTTGACAAGGAGCATTCATCTCAACGATCAAGACACTCCAACCATTCAAAGCTCGACATAATCGGTAAATTTTCGAGTTTTTGAGGTATTTTTAAGTATTTCCCATAAACGAGTTAGAATATAGTTTTAGGGGTAGAAATTGTTAGATAATTTTAAAAACATAGTTTAGAAAATGTAGGTATTGTTTGTTGGCTGAAGCGGACGATCAGGGGTTAAAAAACCGATTTTCTTGGGGAGGAGACACCATTGACGTTGCTGTTGGAGTTGCAGGAAGTTCCGGAGCTATATCTACAGAAGTTTTTGAATTCTGGCTTCTTCCGTAGATATATATACAGAAGTTTTTCGTATGTCCACATCCGGAAGTAAAAAAATGTTAATTTTATTTTTCTTTTTTGTGTTTTAATTTATTTGTATCTAATTGTTTTTTATTTGTTATACCTTGCAGACATTATAGAAGACAAAGAAGATAGATTGCGACTTGGACGAGTTTCATAACATTCATCTATAAGACACGAGCGGAGCCATGCCACTGTTACCGAGATCGATACAGTTAAGGCACATCTTTCTTCATCACATGCCCATGATATTCCCTCGACCTCATATCCCACCCCACCATCCACTTTTTCATCCCGAAGGCATCGGGATTCAGCTGAGGATTCATCACAGGCCTCGTCCTCCCGCAAGCCTCGTCGAAATACTTTTGCTTCTTCTTCTGATGTTGATATGGTGCCACCTCCAGAGGGTGATAACCCACCACCGGAGGATGCTGGTGACGATGACGATGATGAGTCTGAGGGTTTCCCATGGGGTCCCTCAGATTATGTCCCTGCTGACAGGGTACGGCGACCATACTGCCAGACATGTCTAGGATGGAGAGCTAGCATTACTCATATTATCCTCCATAGAAGTTCTATAACCACGGGCAAAAGATATTATCTTTGGAGCAGCCACAAGAGGCTTGGTTCCAGAATGTCATTGTCGCCTCTATTTTGAAGGACCTTTATGAGATCGGTTACAGCGTGATCCACAACGGGATGCTGATGGGCTTTGCAGAGATATGGCACCCTAAGACGTCCTCCTTCCATCTACCACAAGGCGAGCTCACTATCACACTGGACGACATCTCATGTCTATACCGATCAGGGGTACCCTCCTCCGTCATGGTAGGATGGCGAAGGAGGATGAGAGAGAGGTGTTGGTCGAGGAACTTGAGGCTAATCCACTGGATGCGCCAGAGGAGGCGCATAAGACCAGAGGGGCTAATGTCAGGTTCTTCTTTATCACTCGTAGATTTAGTGAGGTGCTCATTGCTGCATGCCAGGAAGATGGTGATCCAGCTGAGGTTGAGATACACAGACAACGTGTGCTGAGATGTTATTTTTTATTTTTAGTCGAAACTTAGCTGTTTGTGGACACCTCCTCCATATATACGGATGCCACTTACCTGAGGTGCTTTTTGGATTCCTCACAGATCCATGAGTACAAATGGGGGGCGGCTACCCTGGCTTACACATATTTGAGGATGGGAGAGGGATGCTTGTGGAAGACCAGAACTGTGGTAGGGAGCGTGACACTACTTGTGGTAACAATCTTATATCCTTCGAATTTTTTTATATTTATTTTCATTCTATATTCGAGATAATGCTTGATCTTTATATTTTTTATTTTCATTTCAGGCTTGGATATTCCAGCATATTCCCATGATCGCTGGGTGGGGGAGTGTAACAGATTACACAGAGCAGATGTCGCGTGCCCGTACCTTTCTTCTGCTCAGGGGGAACCAGGCGGCCGGCCTTTACAGAGTCTATCTCGATCGCCTGGCTATTGAGAACATATGGTATGGAGTCTATGTTGATCACTGTGTGACGCGCCCGTTTGATGACATCTTCTATTTCTCAAGATGGTTAGCATGAAATTCGACCATCACTATTCCATATTTGCTCGAGTGCATCATGCGACAGTTCAGCTACACTCAGACCATTCTTAGACACCCATTCGTCTCCGCTCCTCTCGGTTTGACCCGTACGCAGATATACCATATCTATGCCAACTACCAGAGGCACATGGTACCTGATGAGGCTCGGGAGAACAGAGCGCCGACAGACTGAAGCTACGTTAATGGCTACATCACATGGTTCTTTATCGTATCACACCCTTACATGGTGCCCACTATCAAGGGATCACCTCCCATACCAGCTCACCAGGAGATCTTAGAGGAGCAGTAGTCTCAGTTGGGTCACACTCAAGATGTCCCGCCTCGCTGTCGTGAGATAGTAGAGATGGGGCGA